ATGCCTCCGCGCTCAAAGGGGCATCAGTATGCGCACCTAGAAGGACAAGCCAGCTGGGACGAGTTGCTGAAATCCGAGGCCGACCTACCGAAAGTAGGTAAAAGGGAGTTCGCCGCACCGACTGAGGAGCTCGAGCTTGTTCCTTTGCTTAGCCCTCAAAGACAAGTAAGCATAGGAACCAAGCTGGGGGCCACTGATAGGGAGGAGCTGATCAACTTCCTCAGGGTCCAACTCGGACGTTTTCGCGTGGTCCCACGAGGACATGCCAAGCATCGACCTGGAGATCATGGTGCATCGCCTCAACATAGACCCATCATTCCGACCTGTAAAGCAAAAGAGAAGACCTGTAAATATGGAGAGGAGTGATGTAATTGTTGAGGAAGTAAACAAACTTTTAAAAGCTGAATATATAAGAGAAATTATGTATCCCGAGTGGCTCTCTAATGTTGTATTAGTTAAAAAAACTAACAGGAAGTGGAGGATGTGCGTAGATTTTACAAATTTAAATAAGGCATGCCCAAAAGACTGCTTCTCACTACCAAGGATTGACCAGCTCGTAGATGCAACAGCAGGGCACGAGCTGCTCACCTTCATGGATGCCTACTCTGGATACAACCAAATCAAAATGCATGTCCCAGATTAAGATCATACCGCATTCATAATAGACCAAGGTCTGTATTGCTACAAGGTTATGCCCTTCGGCCTAAAGAATGCGGGGGCGACCTACCAAAGAATGGTGAACAAAATGTTCGCCAAGCAGATTGGCGGGAATATGGAAGTGTATGTGGACGACATGCTTGTCGAGAGCAAGCAGTCAAAGTCGCATCTTTCCGATCTGGCTAAAGCATTTGAAGTTCTCCGGAAGTATCAATGAAGCTCAATCCAGCCAAGTGTGCCTTTGGAGTCTCCTCGGGGAAGTTCCTTGGTTTTATGGTAAACAACCGGGGGATCGAAGCCAACCTAGAGAAGATAAAGGTCGTGCTCGAGATGGAGGCACCCAAGACTCTGAAGCAGCTTCAGTGCCTCAATGGTAGGATTGCAGCCCTAAATAGATTTGTCTCAAGGTCAACCGATAAGTGCCTTCCTTTCTTCAAAGTCCTGAGAAGGAAAGGGTCTTTTGAATGGACGGCAGAGTGTGAACAAGCACTGGAGCAGTTGAAAAATTATCTTTGCCCGGCACCTTTGCTCGCCAAGCCATTGCCAGGAGACAAGCTCCACTTGTACCTGACAGTG